CAGCGGGGGAAGAGGAGGAGCGGGCCTCCTCCCCCACCTTGGGCCCAGGTCCATTCCTTTCCTACCCTGCCCCACCTCCCTCAGGTCGGCCCCAAGCCCTCTCCTTCCATCCCTTTGCTGACTCCAGGTCATCCCAGGCCCACAGCTCTCCCCCCACCCCAGCCGTGGTGTGCCAGCTTCTCCCCACCCTATGGTCCAGTTTTCCTCTGCATCAGGCCTGGGCCTGCTCCTCCCCTCCCCGTGCTGCTGCGGGGGAGGGGGGCCGGACCCCAAGCAGCAGAAGGGAAGCGGGAAACAGGCCCAGACAGGGGGAGGGTACAGGGCTCCATCCCCACCCGCTCCCCCTCATCATTCTTGATGGGCAGTTGGCGTGTGTGTGTGTGTGTGTGTGTGTGTGTATCTATATATCTATATATATCTTGATTTTATCAAAATTGAGGAGAACTTCTGAAAAATAAGCAAATCCAGAAAAGATTTAAAAATTAGAAATGGAAAATGGTGACAACAAAGTACAAATTTAAATTGGTGTACAATGATCCTTTTGTAGATCTAGTTCCTTTGGAGTACAGATCGTAATAGATCTAAATATTCTCCTCATCAAATCCTATTCAGCATACTAAGCAAGTCTGAAATGGAAGGGGCTCATTTGGAAATCCGCTTCAGTGACAGTAGTGTTACCTAGGTTTTCTATGCCTGCAGCAGAAAAGGGAGCAAAAAGTGTAAACAAGGCTGGTCCACATGTTGAGTGGATGCCTCTCCAACCTAGCCAGGCCACTGACTCCATTCTGCCTTTCCAGTTTGCCTTACATTTTGGAAACTGTCTGGTTAAAAGCAGGTATTTTATGACGGTGACATTGCTAAATTACATGTCTGCAGCGTTTCAGAAATAGTGAAAAGGTCAACTTTGCAACTGAATTTAGAACTCAATGACTGGACTAATTAAAAAAAAATTGTTTCTGTTTTGGTACTGGTAGTTCATAATTCATTTGGCCTTTCCTCTTCTCTCCCCTGCCCCCCGCCCCACCTTTTCTTCCAGATTTTGGTGTTAGTGCTTTTTTAGCAACAGGAGGTGATGTTACTCGTAACAAAGTAAGAAAAACGTTTGTTGGTACCCCATGTTGGATGGCACCTGAAGTCATGGAGCAGGTATCCTCATGATTTATTAACTGATTTTGTGATGATTTCTAGAATATGTAACGTTACATTAAAACTATTTTTTTTTTTTTGCCCTGCAATAGGTGAGAGGTTATGACTTCAAGGCTGATATGTGGAGTTTTGGAATAACTGCCATTGAATTAGCAACAGGAGCTGCACCTTACCACAAATATCCTCCAATGAAAGTAATTACCATTAGAAAGCATCTATAATTTTTAACATTATGTAAATAGAATTCTGGTTCATTGCACTGCTTATGTTTCTGGCATTTCTCTTTGAATCCTTAAAAAATCATTCTCTAAAGTAGCAGAGAACTAGGAGATGGCATGCTTGGGTTGTTTGTTTGGTCTTCCTTTGCCTCTCTTATTGAACAAGTTTTGGTAATATATACTTAGCTCCACAATGACAGAGCTGGTTTCTGAAGGATATCATATGTGCCTCTTACACTTCTGAACAAATTTTATGCAAGTAGCAGTATTATTACATTTATTTTCTTAACTGGAGGGGTGTTGTGGCCCACCTGACATAGGAAGGTCCTGTCTTCTATGTCAGTAGTAAACAGAATATAGTTTACAATCCTATTGTGCAGCCTGAATAGAATCTAACTTAATCTCTAAAGAGTTTTACAGTCTTGGGAGTACGTTGAACCCATACCAAATACTGCAGTGTTGGTCATTTCTGAGAGTACAAGTCTTTAAGGAAGTACATGTCAGGGGTGCTTGTATGGTGCCACTTTGGAATGTAATTGTGCTTTATTACTGTTAGTCTATCAAAAAGTGATGAAACTTCATGGTTTTTTAAATAAGTTTTTTGCATGTAAAAAACTTTTAAGTCCTTAAATAAACAATCATATAAAATGTCAAATTTATTAAGCTATTATTTATTCTTAAAGATGGGAGAAAGTAGCTGTAAATGATTTTTAAATTTGGCAAACTTGAAGGCTTGCATGCAGATTTTTAGAATTTACTACAAAAATTAAAATATTTCTTCAAGTTGATCAATTAATGACTAATTAGTTAAATGTTCTCTGTTATACCTTAATAAATAGCTACATTGTACCTGAACTTTAATTTAACTTAAGTAAGTCCTTGACTTTGATCCTTTTCTGTGAACAGAACAGTGTAATATGTATCTTAGTAGGAAACCTTTGTTAAATAAGAAGGTTTGTGAATGAAAATTGAGGTAGTAAAAGCTCTTTATCTAATGGCTTTAGAGCAGATGAGTTAAGGTAATTACAGGTAATAAACTTAGTGTGCAGTAATTGGTGCTACTGCACAGTATCACTGGTTGCATATCTTTTAGGTGACACTAATGCGTGGTAGACTAATTCTACTGCTTATTAGCACATTATTGTATAGTTTAGTTATGTTATTACAGGTACTAAACTTAATGCGCAGTAATCGCAGTGCATTAATGCATGTGTAGATGCGCCCACAGTCATTACTGCAATTTTTAATAGTTGTTTTCCTGCCCTTAACTCATCTGCTCTAAAGCCATTAGATAAAGAGCTTTTACTACCTCAATTTTCATTCACAAACCTTCTTATTTAACAGTTTTCTTACTAAGATGCAGGTAAAAGACTTTATTACAGGTAATAAACTTAATGTGCAGTAATTGGCGCTACTGCATGATAGTTCCGGTGCATGTCTTTTAGGTGACACTAATGCAAAGTAGATTAATTCTGCTGCTTATTAGCGCATTTGCATGGCTTTTGCGGTGACACGCTAATGCACAGTAGAATTAGTCTACTGCACTTTGTGTCCTGTGTAGACGTATCCTGTATGTACTAGTCTTCTTTACACAACCTTTTCAGACTGCCTAGGATGCTTGAAAAAAGAATTAATGTGACACCACAGAGGGACCAGAAAAATAGTGCAGACATGCAGATGATAGTGCAGATGATTTTTCTATCCATAGTATGGCATTTCAACAGAATAAGCATGTATGCATTGATACCTGAGAAGAGGAAAAGTGCAGGAACAATCTGTCTTGGTGACGGTACCTGCTGATTACCTGTTTTTTAAGCAGGTCCTTCTCCTGAAAGATTCAAAACACAGGGAAATCACCTATCTGAAGAGCTGACTGACTACTGCAAAAAGAGTAAAGGAGAGTATGGAAAATCCTGTGCCACATGCAGATCACCAGGAAATTTTCAACTGTGTTGGCTTAGAAAAGTCATTTGCCTCTATGGTCATGGGCTGTCATCAGGCCCTATAGAACAGGCAGGAAACTATCATCTCTTCTGAAAAACTGCTTAAAGGCATGGCATGATGGGCTTAACCAGTTTAGTATGATGGTTGCCCATAGAGAGGGTGCAGAAGGGGCAGTCATTGATTAAGCATTGGGGAGGGAGCTTCAGCTGTTGGGACATACCAGACAACCCTCTGTATAAGATTGCTTCCTTGCCTAGCTGAGGGCTGGGTAGGAATTGGCTAGGTATCATAAGACTATGGATATAGAGGCACCATATGTTAAAGTGAAAGGCTTAGGTTTAATCTAACTCTCTGAGTAACCTTTATATTAAATGTCTTTGGCCTGTCATGTTTTGCTAATTGCAGTGCACTTTTCTGGTAATGTGCTTTCTTAAATTTCTGTTAAGTTTGCATAACTTACTTGGTGTTGACTTCATGTTGCTTGCATGTTTTGCTCCTACTATTTCATGAAGCTTTTTGTTATCCTCACCTGGAGCTGAAACAATGATCCAAATTCTGTATTTCACCCTTCAACGACTATTTTAATTTCCTCTATTATTGCCATCCTATCTTTGTCCTAGGCATGTATCTACTAATAGCCAACTTGCTGTGTAAATTTGTATGGGTCACTTGTACAATCTTTCTCTCTCTCTCTCTCTTTCTGTCTCCAGTTATCTCTTGGCTTATATATATACCCGTATTATAAATTATATATAGTTATAGAATATTTTGTTATTGGGTGGTACCCTTTGGCATAACACATACATTATTTCTGAAGCCCATAGATTCTTAAGATGATGAAGTGGGTTTATGGCCCCTACCATATGTTACACTTAAGATGTGATTAACTAGTTAAATTGTGACCTTGCCACATAGTTAGTTAATGGCATGGTAAAACAAGGAATAAGCCAAACATTTTTCCACAAAAAATGTGTAATAACTTTGTGCCTCATTCCTGTTGCACCATTAAGTGAATCTGTGGCCTGGTATCCCTTTGTGGCTGGGAGCCTTGTCAGCTGATGGGGGCACACAAGCCTGCAGCTGATCCAGGCTCTCAGCCACAGGGGTGCTGCATCATGCACTTCTGCGGCTGGGAACTCTCTGCTGATGGGGCTCTCAGCCACAGGGCCGCACCTTGCACTTCCAGGGCTCCCAGCAGCAGGGAGCACTATGCGCTCCTGCAGCCCAGAACCCGCAGCTGATGGAACTCTTAGCCATGGGGGTCCACTATGCACCCCTGTGGCTAGGACTTTCAACAGCTGATCCTAGCCATGGCAGTGCATCGTATGTGCCTGTGGTTGAGAGTCATGTCAGCTGATATGGACTTCCAGCTGCAGGGGCACATGACGTGCCCCAAGGCTTGTAGTCTGCAGCTGATGGGGCTCACAACTATGGGAGCTCATGTTGCGCCCCTGCAGCTGCAAGCCCATCAGCTGCAGGTTCCTAGCCTCAGGGTCACATAGTGCGCCCCTCCAGCTAGGAGCCCAAATCAGCTTCAGGCTCCTAGCCATGGAAGCTTGGTATTTGTTGGTGCAGGGGGAGCGTTGGATCGTGATTCTGGGCTTACCCTGCAACAGGAATAAGGCATGATGGGATCACGGTTCCTGCCACATGTAGATCATGCATTAGCTCCTATCTCACCTTTATCTATATGTCTGGCAGGGACCATAATTTGTCAGATTTAGAGGGAATGATGCCATAATCGGATGTCACGTGAAACACTTATAAGTAAATGAGTCCCCTAAATCAAAGACGTTCTTTAATATATTCTAATTGTCATAAGCAAATTTTTGTGTAGTAACTTGATATTTTGAAAAACATTAAAATTATTGTTTGATTGTCAAATACATGTTTCTTCTACAGTACTCTGCTGTATTAATTTTACTGAGACACTTATGTTGTTACCTTTCCGGTTTTACTACAGGTGTTAATGCTGACATTGCAAAATGACCCTCCCACTTTAGAGACAGGTGTAGAAGATAAAGAAATGATGAAAAAGTATGGCAAATCCTTTAGAAAACTTATTTCACTATGCCTTCAAAAAGACCCTTCCAAGAGGTATGTCATTGTATAAAATTGATTTTTTTAAGGTCCTCCAAATTTAATTATTTTAAAGATTCTTTTTAAATATCAGCCATTGGTCTTTAAGCTGGGGAAAATTATCATCAACCATTTGTTATGCACAAGACTGGTGGATTTAGTAGGCTAGTGGCAAATATTTTGCTGTATTGAGCACTGCTCACTGTTGTATTGAGTCCCTACCTTGAAGAGTTTACAGCTGCTAACTTGAAATCAACAAATCGTAATATCTTATAGAAACCCATGTTTTACGACCTATTTGTTTAAAGAAAAAAATAGGACTGGAAGGGACTTCATAATGCCATTGAGTCACCTGCTCAAGGCAGGAATATCCATTCTTGCCATTCTGGACAAATGTTTGTCTCCCCTGAACTTAAACTTCCAATAAAGCAAGTTCCACAACTTCTGTAGGTCATCTGATCAACACAACTGGAGCAAACTGAGATGTTAATAACCAAACATACTGTCCATTTGACTCTCCTCCAGAAAATGGTTACAGATTTCTTTTTTCCTTTTACGATCTGATCTCATTTCCAACTGTAGAATGTGCTATATGTGCTGTGTGACAAGATTACTTTAGAGAATATTCAGGAATATTAAGGGTTTTTTTGTTTGTTTTAGGTAATATAATCAACGGGAAGGCTGTGTGTTAACTTAGGGTTATGCATTTCCTCTGCTTCTGTGCACTCTGCATAACTCTACTCTGTTTTTGTCACCTGAGAAAAACCCAGATAATGAAAACCTTCCAAAAGTCTGCATTGCTAGCTTGCTAGTAAAGTTCCAGGGTGATTTTTTCCCCCCCATTTCATTTTAATCGTAGTCATTTTTGTCGAAACCCATTTTGTAGATTTGCTTTTGTTGAAGTTGTGGAGGAAGCACTTTCTGTAAATAGCATATTCCCCAAGGTGTTAATATGCTACTTAACCCCCCTTTTTGGGGGGTTTCATTACTAGCATTATAAAATTCTAATTGTGTAAAGAAAAGTGGGGCCAATTACGGTACAATGATATAGTTGGATTTCACAGGTCTCACAATAACATAAAAACCCAGAATAAAATAATTGTGAATTAGATGTAGCATGTCCTATTCTCATCTCTAGCTCCAGTAAGTCAGAATTGGGTCTAGGACCTGAGAGCAGGAAAAATAGGGAGCACCAAGAATAGTTAGGGAATAAAGAGTGTAAACTACAAGAAAACACCTTAATTTCCAGACATTCTCTAGATACTTTCTTTTGTCTCGGGGCATATGTGCACTATTTTCAGATTCCAGAGCCTCTTACAGTCTGCCTGTTTGTCTCTTTAAATCTGAGTCTCTGGACTCTGATCCTTTTCAACTCAACCCTTCAACTTGTAGACTGCTTAAGATTTAGATTGAAGTGTGTTATAGGAAGTCCAGCTGTTTTTAGGCTACAGAGACCAGCTGTTTTCAGGGCAAGATTATATTGGTGTATAAACATAATTGTCATGCTAAGATATAAAAGTTACAGTATTCTTTTCTTAGTCCAAAATATACTATTTTTACCTGAATACAAATCAACTTGGAATTTGAGATCACCTGATAATTAGAAACTATACATGGAACATTTATAAAGATGAGTGGTAGATGTTTTTCCCTGTACAGAACCTAATTATTGGTGATCTGTCCACTGCCACTGTTAACCCTTTAGCTCCAGCCCTAGCCCCACTCCAGCTTGAGGCACAGAACACATGGCTGTTTCCGCTCCTGCCTGGACATGTAGCAGCTGTTGTAGTGGTGGCAGCTCCAGCCTAGTCCTGGAGCCAGCTGCTCGTATTGTTGCTGATGCTACCAGGGTGGGGCTGGGGCCAGAGCAATTACGTATTCTTGTCTTGGGCTGGCACAAAATTGAAGCTCTGCCAGAGCTGGATGGTAGGCAGCCAGGGAGTCGAGGTGGGCAGTGGCTGCAGGTCTGACTCTGACCCTGACCCCAGGTTACAGCTGGGCCCAGAGCTGGAGTAGGAGCTGCAGCAGCTACCTGCCCCCCCTGCTGCCTTGTATTCAGAACCAAGATGAGGTTCCCCGCTCCATCCTCCCCAGTTTAACATGGGGATAGAAAGACTCTCATCTTGGGTTTGAGTTAATATGGTAGTGTTTACTGTTGGTAGTGGAGTTTTTAGGAGTTACTCATTCTGTATTACCCATGCCGATATGCAAATGTCAGAGTACTAGCACTCATGATGCCTTTCCACTTAGGTTTGTCTAATCTTCAGAGTTGGCTCAGAATGATTGGGCCTGGGTCTGAACACCCAAGATGGCTATAGCTTAGTTTATGTTTACCATATGACCTTACTGTTTCAAGACTCTTGTGTGAGAGACTGATGCCTCATCATATGTATTATTTGACCAGTGAGCCTTAGTTAATGAAGCACCTGAAGCACCAAAGCAACATTTTCAAATTAAAATATTTAATTTGTTTACCTCAGTTTACCTCAGGCACCAAAGCAACATTTTCAAATTAAAATATTTTTGGTTTTGGCCAAAAATATAAAGTTTTGTTGTTGCTGAAATTATTTATGCGGGAGAACCCACTTAGACTCGTTTTGCTTGGCAGTCAGGTATATGTATTAATTAGGTATTTGCTTTAACATCAGTTGGAAGTTAAGTAGTAGGGAGCTCCTTTAGAAAGAGCAACACCTTCAGGCTACACCTTTATATGCAGCTTTTGTGGTAAGAAGCTGGTAACTTCTTTTGAGTTAAATTGTTGTAGATTTCAAACTTGATATATTTAGGTGGGAAAGTGGGTGTTCACTGAATAGGTAACTGAAAGGATTAAATTTGGACCACTGGGCCACTGCTTTGGGCTCTTCTTGTAGTCAGGGGCTAGAAGCACAATTGTCAGCTTTTGTTGGTTTATGAAGCAAATTGATAAAGCTCAGTCTAGTTCCTTGTCAACATCTATCTCCGTCACCAAAAAACTGCAGTTGCCAGTACTTGATGATACTGTTCTTAAAAAATAAAATAAATTACCCTTTCACCTGTAGAAGCTGATTAATTTGGAGTAGAGTTTAGGCACATGAATTAAGTTATTTAGGGGAGCATATATTATGTTCTCATGGATGAAAAGAAATTGTTTAAACCTTGGTTCAATCATCCAGTATGCATGTATTATAAAGGAAAGTGTCAGACTATCAGGATATTTATTGTATTCCATGTCATTAATATCTAGGCACATCATTATTGTACTAAATGTGTTAAGTGAAGGTGCACATCTACCATTAATCTTAAAATAATTTGATAGCTAGCATTGCCATTTACACAGCAATCATTCAGAAGTACAACAGAAACATACTATTTCACTAATTTTTTTTACAGTATTCGTGGGATACTTGTCTTCTGCTCTAATCTTGTATTGATCTTTCAGGCCCACAGCAGCAGAACTTTTAAAATGCAAATTCTTCCAGAAAGCCAAGGTAAACATGTTTAACTGTACAAGTCAATTTGCTCCATTTTACAATCTGCATGAAATGTCTGCACCGGTGGTTCTCAGCTTTCTTGGACTCGAGGCATACCTCTTACGAACTGAGTAGTGCCCAAGAAATTATTGTCAGAAAGGAATTTGTATATTATAGTGCTTCTCCCCTTACCTGGGGCCTGCACAGTAGGACTAAGTACAGACAGTCAAAAAGCCCGAGACTGAATTGATTCCATCTTTGCAAGTTAGTCTAAGCTGCATAGATTGAACTGAGAAGCAAGTGAACAGCCATTCATTTTTGATTCTGGAAATGCAGCCACATGCCTGCAGTGGGCCTGGGCCAAAAGCGGGGTGGGGGTGCTAGATCACACCTCCCTGATCTGCTGGAGCAGACAGCTTCGGCTAAGGTTAGCTTCCCCATCCTGTGAGGGGAGGAGTTTACAGGGGAGTTGCAAAGCACCCTAGGATGCTGGGGGACTGTAAGTTAACTTGAATCTGGAGGGGATCTGGGACAGAAGTTCAATAAATGGATTTAATATACATCAGTTGCATCTAATACTACATCCATCCAGGTTTATTGTAAACTGGTTTGAGACATTATGAAAGCAGCTTGTGCACTGAACTTCTGGGCTAAGTACAGACATTCGGGAATGTTAGAGGGAGGTTAAATTAATTGAAAATGGCGGCCCAATATTTCGTAAATTAGGATGTGGGGGTGCTAGCTGGGGGGATGGGGGTCTAGCAGGCTGAAGGGGATTGGGGGTCTGCTGGGGATTAGGGGTCAGGCATGCCCTGTGGGTGGGGTGAGGGGGCAGGTGTGATCTAAAGGTTGGGTGGGGTCTGGTGGGGTGGGACCTCCAGCAAACCTATACCCCCATCCCTACCTGCCCTCCCACCTCCGGGACTTATTTGCTCAGCTCTGGCAGTGGTAAATGCTGATAGAAGCAGCTGCATCCAGAGCAGCTTGTGGGATGGGAATTGAGAGGGCTGGCTGGGAGTTGAGCAAAGGACCAGGGGGCCAAAAATAGACCAATGTAGGGGAAGGAGAGAGTAAAAAGAACAGCCTCTGGGCTGGGGCCAGTGGCTAGGTTTTTCCAGCCCTGGGGATGCCCAGGGGAAGTGTACAGAAGTTCCATGCACTGGTTTTGACCCAAATCAAATGAGCCTGGTACTACATAGATGCAGGTATATCTTAGATCCAGGTATATCTTGGGTTCTGCAGTTTTTAGACTGGTTTGCATGCATGGACTTGTGTTCAGTTACAGGTTTAGATTGATTGCGAGTCACTCAGACTGGGTCTGTACGTGTAAAGTCGGCACCAGGATGAGCAAAGTTTAAATCAGGTGGCCATTTTCGACTCAATTTAACCTCCTGAATATCTGTATTTAGCCCTGTTGTGTTACAGATTTGAACCGGTTTCTGATAACTTATACCAGGTTGCATGTAATTTCTGTCCCTAGCCTAGGTGTGAGACGCCCTGGTTCAGAGTCACTGGTCTGCACTCCTTTGCATTGGATGTAATGCCCTGAATACTTTTTCCTTTCTTTCCAGAATAGAGAATACCTGATTGAAAAGCTTCTTACTAGAACACCTAATATAGCACAAAGAGCAAAAAAGGTAAAGTTCTTTATACCTTTTCTTTTCTCTAGACAGTAGGATATACTGTTGCACAAGTGACAAAAGAATTGACATTTTAATAAATTAACAGGTAGAAGGAACAATTCTTTTATTAACACATTCATAGATGATTAATGTTGTAATTGATGTTAAAATGATTGGTTCCTGAAGTTGATCCATCTCCAGATAGGCTTGGGGCATTTTTTACTTCCTTACTGTGCCCTGCCAAGCTGTTAGTAAGATATGCAAGGTATCGTTTCATTATTTTTTTTCAGAAAGCTTATACATAAAGGAGCAAGGAAATATTTTCCTTCCTAAGAAGCACAGAAATTCCACAAATACAGGAATTTGTGGCTTCATTTTAGAACCCAAAATACAAGGCTAAGAATGGTGCAAACAGTATTTATTAAGGATTACCTGGCTACCTGTGGATTTCAGTGTAATTTTCTCAAATAGGAAGCTCATAATTGTATATAACAAATTAACAGAATATTTATTGTCCAGCGCTTTGTGTAGTTATTTTTACCAATGCAGTGTTGGTGTCAAGGGGTACAAACTCCGCCAACTTTAACTTGCATTATTTTATACCTGGTACAGAGTGGAGCCATAGAGGACTAGGCCTTTTTGGCAAGTGTGTCTGGAGTAGTTGATAACTGGGAACTGATAGCCAGCTGCTGTCTAGTTAGGTACACGTAGACCTCAGGGTTTGTTTGTTTTTTAATTTGTTTTGTTTTTTTGTTTTTCTCATGTTAAAGTAATCATTAAATTTACCATGCCTTGTTGTGGAGTAGGAACTCGATGCTAGGAAATGCTAAGAATCTGCAGCTGTCAATGCTTTTTTCCTAAAAGTAGGTTAGCGAGGAAGAAATTTCCAGAGGTGTCATCATCTACTTTGCCCACCAATATCTTGGGGTGTCCTGGGAAGATTTGCTTTCTTTACAGGCGCTGTCACTACTTGGTTTGGTTGGGTGGTGATCCTGAGTAAGTTTTGAAAGGATGTTATTTCTTTCATATAACGTATGCAGAGTATGGCTTTGTTTTGGGAGGATAGGGTGGATAACGATGGAGGGAATTGTTTTGGTGGTCTGGTGAATCGGTGTTGAGAATGGACAGTCTGGTTGTCTGATGCTCCCTTTCTTCTTGAGGATGCAGGCAGCTGTAAGATGTGGAGTAAGAGTACAGAGCACTGCAACACTTTGTCCATATGGTGGCAGCAATGCATGTGTGAAAGTTTACTTAATCTGACTCAAACTCCTCTCCTCCTCACCCAAGTCTTTTAAATCTTATACCAAAATGGGTTCACCATGAGTTTGACTAAGGGTTCTTAGACCATAGTTTTCATTCTAGAGCTTTTTGTATTACCGTGCAGACCACCACCTTTTCCTTCTAACAATTTGAGGCCTCAGAGCCAGTTGAAGAATTGCTTTTTACCAAAAGCTATGGCTTAAATACTTTCTGAAAATCTGAGAACAGGTTCCTTTGAGAGATGCATATGCAGTTTCATGTTAGTTCATCATGGACCCACAAAGGCATACTCCTTAGACCACAGGTGGGAATCTTTGCTCTTGGCTTCTTGAAACCAACTTCTTTTGCTTTTGTTTTTATTTATTTTTGTCTTTAAGATATGTGAGCCTTAAATGTTGTAGGCTGCTATAGAGGCTAATAGATTACAAATCTGCTAAATGCAGTTTAACTTTCAAACCTGTTTTTCAATTTAAGCTGTCAACTAGTGGAATTGATACATTCTTTTAAGTTTTTACAAGCCTCAATATTAACATTCATTAATGAAAACTTGAATTCACTATAGTTTCCAGTGTGCCTGTTTTTATGCTTTTCAGGAGACTTTCTTGTAAGAAATAATCCTTATGCTGAAAGTACAAATGTCTGTGGGACAAGGAGGGGAAAGTGATGTGTGTCATCAGTTCTTCTGTTTTAACAGCACTTGGCATGGAGTGCCTGGAACTAATGATCCATAGCATGACAGCTAGTATAGGTATCGGAGCTGCCTTGAAGTAATTTTAATATTCCATGCATCTACAGTTTGTCATTACGTTGCCTCAGTGCCCAAAACGGTGACTTAATCTTTTCTCTTTATGTAGCATTTCTTGCTCCTGCTTTATGTACATGTTTGTACTTGCTGTTTTGTTTAAATCATGTTTAGATATCATGTAAAGTTGAACATAAAGCAGGGAAAATATTAGTCCCTTACAGGCATAATCTTACAAAATTTGTAATAAATATATACTCCCCCCTCAGTTGCATACTACTTTGTTAATTTAGTCATTCTAAATTACTTTTGTAACAGAGCTAATTTATAAATTGTCTCCCTTTTGGCATTTTCAGTAGTGAAGAGTAGAACTGAGATATTTTCTGAATTTGCTTGCGTGATAAGAGTATAACTTGCCTCTTTAGCATAAAATCTTGTTTAACACGCACTAGAACTGATTTAATAGACTCTCTGGCATGATACTAAAAGACTTCCAGTTTCATTAAGTTAACTTCTCACTTGTAATAAAACTCTGCATCTTCCATTTTGTCATCTCATTACTTTAAGGCACCATCAGATAGTTATGTGGGGATAGTGTGCTGAGGGCCAAGAACTGAATAACAAAAAAGAAATCTTTGACTATTGAGCTTTTTCTGGAGGACGAAGAAGTTTTCAAATGGAAACTGGGTGAAGGGTGAACATTTAGATGAGAACTCCCATCTCTCTCTCTTGCCCCATCTGCTTTCTCTTTGTAACCTCACAGTGGTGCAGGTGGCTGTCAGACGGAGGGTCAGCCAGCATTTTAATCATTCAGAGCACACCTATGAAAGTAGTGATGCAGTAGGTCTCCTAGATGCCCGAAAAATTACAGTGGTGAGATGAACCACCCAGCTTAGAAGACCAGTGGATCTGATTAGAAAGTTGAGAGAAAATAGCTACAAGTCAGCACTTCCAAAGACCTTCTTTTTAAGAAGTCCTTTTGACTTGGTCTGGTAAAAGGCAAGAGAGATAGAGGAAAAGAGTTTCAACAGAACTGAGCTCTTTTGGATATGAATATATTGAGGAACAGTATCCAGTAGGAAAGTTTATTCTAGTCTTTGTAAGATTTTTAATCTGTCTGCACAGGGTTTGTCTCTAAAGAATTTTCTTAATCTTTAGTTAAAGATTTCCTGTTATTAGCAACCAGTGTTTACTAGTCATCTTCCATAGATGATGCTGTTTAAGATGAGCTTCAGTGTTTTTATTTTGTGAGTCTCACTATTATTGTACCAGTAATATACATTTTCAAACTTACTATCTTTTAAAAATATTCAGGTTCAGTCTGAATAGAAGTGCAGTGGGTTTTGTATGTTTTAGTCCTGCTGCTGCTGAATGAATGGGAATTCAGTGGAGCAAGAGTCTGCCCTTAGGTTAAGGCCATTAGTTGGAGTTTTGTTTGGCTGGATTTCATTCTCTAGAATGGCAATGTTAGGTTAAAAGGGAAAGGAGCAAACTGCTTCAGGAGTTTAAAGAAACAGTTTGTTTGAAACCTAGTTACAGTGGGGAAAAATCATAATTAAATTTGGGTATTTAAATACAGGTGGCCCTGTAACACCATGGCAATTTTGTGGTTTTATAATCCTGTTTCCTCCATTTAAAATGATTCTGGATAAAGCTGTCAAATCCACCAAGCAAATAGGGGGAAAATACTGTTTTTAACATTTTATAGTAACCTTAGGTCCTACTAATGAAATACTAATTGAATAATTATATTATTTACATTTTATATTGGGGAATAATCTGCTTAACACCTCTAAATTTTTTTTAGTGCTTGAAGCTTTTATCATCATCATGCAGACAATGGTAGAAAGAAGTAAGAAAACTGCCTCCCTGCATGGACTATTAAGTGATAATATTTGGTAAAAAGAAATTTAAGTTACTTATTTCCATTGGAAATATTTTTAGTGATCAGAATAAAATGGAAAATCACTCTTGGAGTTGGAACTCAGCAATGCAGTGGACACACATGAGTAGTTCATACTGAGTTTAGAGATTGGGAATGACTCAGAGGGAAGAGAACACTAGAAACGAAATGTATATCTAGGTCAAAACTAATTGAATGTTTAATAAGTTAGGCATTTTCATATACCTGAAATGGTGATATTGTTGAGATGATGGTTTTAATTTGATGCAAACACCTCACTGAATAAGCATTGGGGACTGGCATTAATACAGTTGGACTTGCCACCTTTGCACAACAGAACTAAATTAGTTTGTCAAGTAATGAATATTCATTTTATAATAACCAGCATTACAAGAAATTGTATCTCTTAAATACTGGCATATTACAGAAAAGAAGGGACAGGTGTTAACGTTGAGGTCTTTTTATTACCAGAAAGCAGCTGCTGAATTCTAAGCAGTACATTTCATTTGCTTGGAATTTTTGGGAGCCTTTCCTGCCCTCCACCCCATTTTCTGCTGTCTTGAGCTTTTACCTTTTATTAGATGTGAGAAAAAATATATCTAGTGAGCTTTTGTATGCACCCAGTTTAGTGGCGCTGAGAGCTATATCTTTACCTTACTCGGAGAACCATAAAAATGTAACATTTTTCCAACTACTCGAGACAATTACACAATCTTGTGGGGAAGACTGTCATTCTTGTAGCTTACTATATTTGATTTACTTTAATGTAAAGCTTATTTCTACAACTGTTCCATTGTGCAGTAGTGTTTTTTGTTTTCAACAAAAATAGTTCACAAAACCAGACTGTTAGTTTTGTCTTGTAGCTCTATTGGTAAATGGATTGAAACTGGGTGAGCTAACCAGTAATGCCAATTTGCAGCTTGGTCAGTTTTCTTCTGACTGCAGATTCAGAAAGAGGATTGCTATGAACTATTCTGCCCTGGAACTTTTATGAAATAAATTCCCGTTATAAGATGTGAAGTCAGAGGAGCGGTGACTTACTTTACTTGTGGGTTTCCCCTTTTCCTATCCCAAATATGCTATTTATGACAGTAGCATTGGGAACTTTGA